AAAAAAAAAAAAAATCTAATGTAGTGCTAAAACCTGAATAATTTATAATTAAACAAACTGATTTTTATTTGAAATTTAATAAACATGTTTCCCAAGATGAGGTCAGCAAATTAAATACAACTTTTACTGAAAATATCGTAATGCTGATTTATTCTTAATTACAAAAACATAGACATGATAGCCAAGACGTATTTTTTGTTTTGTTTGTTTGTTTAGTTTTGGGGGTTTTTTTTGTTTGTTTTTCCAGTGGGTTTAAACCTAAAATGCCTCTTTTTGAACTGAATGGTCACTACCTAAACCCCAGCCCCTGCAGCCAGTTATGAATTAGTGCTAGTGCAGCTTTTGCAGCTTAGAGAGGAAATTCTGGAGGTTCTGAGCTTTCACATGAGGCACAACCTGTCCATATACTGAGAAAAACAAAAACTTGCATGTGTCCCCTATGTGCAGGTTAAAGGAACTGTGTATAACCTGCATACAGTTTCAAAAAGATAAAATAATTACAGCTGAATCTGGGTTTGCAGTGCCTTAACATTTAAAGAACACAAACAAGTTTTTATCGTTCTCAGATTATGTACAGCAGCAGAGACACTGATTCATGATGGCTGCAGGTGCTGGGGTAGAAGTAGTGACCGTTCAGATCAGAGAGAGACATTTTAGGTTTGAACCAAGTGGATTTCAGCATTGATTGAGACTCGCGAGGCTTCGTTTTGAGAAATGATGACATAAACATGGACATTAGGCTACATGCAGTTCATTAAAGTAGATTTTATGTATGTCACCAGCGCACGTGCAGGATTAAAGACGTTGGAGATCTATAGCATACATAATATCAGCATCTGCATATAGACGCTTTTTCACTATAGCAAAGACTAGATCCTTTGTTTGTATTTCTGGTGATAATTATAATGAACACCGTGATGCTGGCTCCTCCTCCATCTGAGACGAGAACTTCTGAAAACGACCTCTTTAAGAAAATATTTCATTACAATACATTTAAATATTTATATATATGTTTGAAGTAGATTTGTTAAAATTGTGGATCATTTCTGTATCCTGATAATGTAAACTCACAGCATTGCAAATTTAAATAAAAATATACTGATCTGCCTCTGTCCCTCCGAGCTGTACATTCTGCCCTTTCCCACTCACACTACTTTATTCATCCCTCATTCTGTGGAATAATTATCGTTCTTTTGGACTTCTCACCCTGCCGGAGTTTTGGCTGGGAGCTCATTAATAATTCACGGATTGAGACCGGAGAATTTTAGTGCAATTTGCAGCTGCACAGTTGCACTTTTATTGTTGTGCTGAGAAAACATGTCAGCCATCTTTGAAACGTTCCAGAAGAGATACCATCGCTCTAAAAAATATGGTTTTATAAGTAGTCCGTGCTAACATCTGCTCATGTAAACAAATGTAAATAAATGAATACATGAATTTGAAATACAGTTTTGCACAGTTTTTGATTTGGCAAAATTTTGGAAAAGTGTATTTTGTATGCTCACTGTCTGCCATTATAAAATAGTACTTTCTTAATACACTATATATAAGTTATGTATTTTTATATAATTTTAATGGATTGAAAGTACAATTTGATTCATTATTTTTAAACTAAGCAAAACAAAAAAATCTGTTTTGGATTAGAAGGTGGCTGAATCCTGAACTGGTAAAATACTGCTACTTTTATATTCGCCAAAAATGTTGTTTACTGCTACTACTACTTCAGTGTCTTGGGAATGTGTGAACAAGCCATGGCACAGACTTAATCTGTTTTTGTGTTTATTTTTCTTATAACTGACCTGACGACAATCCCAGTGAGAATATTTTTGTGGCATTAATCTGATTTGAGTTGCAAAAAAATGAAAAAATAAAAATGTAGATGTAATTTATTACTGATATTTTATTTTTTATATGAACAACAGATTATTATTATTATTTTGTTTTTGTTGGTAAATCAAAAAAAAAAAAAAACACTCATCTTATTCTTATACTATTTTATGCATTTTTTGTGGTTATATGGAAGGGTCCCTGTATTAATCTGGACAATAGACTAGTGTTGTCTCATGTATTTGAAGTAAGGGTTGTTCAGAACAGACTGTGCAGAGATGGGGTCAGAGGTCACAGTGAGGAGCGTGTGCAGCAGTGAGCTCTATTACATGGTGCTTCACCGCCCTCTGCTGGCGGTATGGAGGTACGTCAACGCTACATGCTTGGTTCAGATTTGCACATTTTATAATTTTGTACAGAAATGTCCATGGATAGACTTAAAAAAAACAAAAACTTCACTTATATGTTCCCCTACAAGTGAAGCACTGTGCAGTTTTAGCTCCATAAATGAGTGAATTTTGGTAATTTTTGAATAGCATAATTTTACTTGAGATAGACAAAACAAATCAGGATTCATATGTTTAATCTTTGCACAAATGCATACTGTAAATAATGTGTATGTATGCATTTATGTATGTGTGTGTGTACAGTACAAAATGGGGAAAAAAGAGGTTCTGGGGTTAAAATTATATTTTGAATGCATAATATGTAATTTATTTAGCAATATGTAAATATTTGTTAAGTTCTGTGATCAATGTACAGAAGCAACCACATCATTTTTGAAACTATGTCATGAACAGGGGTGGGTTAATATAAGTTTTTTTCTTCTTCGCACTCCTTTTCGAGAAATGTGCTTTTCTGTTGTTTACGTTGTGTTTGTAGTATACATGATTATTGTTTCTCTCTTGGCACAAACTCAAAATAAAAAGGAATCAATCAATCAATCAATCAATTAAAAATGTTGTTAAATGGACAGTGAGCACTACCCATAAATAACACTTAGAAGGCTGTATCAGTATTTGGGGGTGGTCAACTTTCCTGCTAAATGCCTTGAAATAATAGACTACAAATACCCTTACTGAATTAGAGACCACAAACGTCTGACTTCACTGACACCAAATTTAAACTTTTTCATTTATTCATCTCTTTTCCTGGAGCTATTTTGCACAAACCTGCCTCCTATATGTACGTGTCAGCCCCCTGTCACGCCCCCATCTCCCAGTCCAAGGTCGAGGGACTATTTCGGTCTCGTCTGGGCTTTGATCCGTGCTGTGAGATGACAAGGTAAGCGCATCCAGGGGGGTCAGCTGTGTTACCGGAACAAGCAACCCTATCCCTGTGTCTTCGGGATACTCCTGCCTGACCCCTCCCCTCCTCTCCTCTCTCCTCTTCCCCCCTCCTCCCTCCTTTGACAGTCATACGGATAAACATAAGCCAAATATAGCGGTGTGTGGTGTCTGACAAGATTTGACCCCCGCAACCTCTGTCAGTTTGGGTTAGTCTGTGCCAAGGTGCAGGTTCTGTTGAAGTCCAGCGTTCTCACTGTCAGGCTGGTTATGTATCTGTCATGTAGATAGATGGACATTCAAATATGCAAAGGTTGTATTGTTTTAACTGTCGCCCAGAGATAAAACCAGGCAGAGGAGGATGGGCATCATTTGGTGAGGGAACTACTTTAAAATTGCCAGTCCTGATCAAATAAAATGGAAATGTAAGAAATTATGTGTTGTTGTTTTGGTGGGCTTTTAAAATGATTAATCTTATAAAGCATTTTTCCAGATGTTCCAAGTTGCCTCATAATTTCATGCATTTGAAATTACCACCAACAGCCACACCGCATTCATACTAGGCAAGGTGGGGGAAATGTCTTGCTCTAGAACATAACAGTTTGCAGTAGGATCAGATGAAATTGGGGATTAACAAGGTGTTATGCCTTAAAAGAACCAAAAAAAAAAAATCTCAAGGAGTATTTTATGGAAATTTTGGGGCACTGGTTTAATTAAACGGAAATAAAAAAAAATACTATACTTAAATACATTGTTTGTATGAATTTAAAAAAGGTATCAGCATTTTTGGAACAAAGATCAAATCACTTCATAAATGACCAACTACCACTGGCTGTTTAACCAGTGATTTAATGCGCAAAAATATTATAAAAATACAAAACAAACAAATTGGTAAAATAAAACACTTTAGTTAGTTTGGTTCCACGTTTAAAGATAATCCACAAGCATTTCGAGCCTCACCATGTCACTGCTCTACACCTGACTTGGGACTTGTTTCAATCTGTGGTGTTTGGCTCCATCTGCTGGTCACATTGTCACAAAAAAACGTGCTTGATCTTCAGATTGATGGGTTTATGAAATTGTTTTTTATATTAAAATTCTTTGTTTAATTAGGGCTAGTCGATATGTCAAAAGCATTTTTCTTACTCTTATTAAAAACACAAAATATGTCTTTAAATATTTGATTTTATTACCCCCTGAGCATAAACAAACTCAAATTAGGCTGCAGACTTGATGAAAAATATCCAAGGTGATGACAGACTGTTAAAAATGACACAATCTCAATCTTGTTAACAATTCCTATTCACTGGTGAACATTATCTGTGCTCCATAATAATGTTGCATTTATATTCTTGCTGTACTTTTCCTTCAGTTTTCTTCAGTTTTTATAGTGCCCAAGCATGTTTACATTTTAAGATTGTTTTGGTAATCCTGATACAACAATGTAAACATTTAGGAGTCAAGTTATTTCAGTATATATCTAGTCCCTTCAGTACCTGAGTATGTCCAGTCACTGTGGATAGGTCTTTATTCACACTGACATGAGCTGGAGGCGGTGTACCTGAGCTGCTGTCACATCACACACACACGCATACCCGAGCCAGGAGCAGGACTATAAAAGGTAATTAGTCCTCACACAGTCTCACGCTCCGAGGGCCAGTACCTGTGGAGCAGTACACTGGCCCCGGGGCCCACACTTGACAGGCTTAAACACTGCACCAGACTCCACGGAGACGCACCTCAACACAGCTGTCAAACAGGCTCACACTTAACTGACAAGCTCTCACCTTAAACCGCACAATTCAATCTACTTCCCGTCACCTTGTCGTCGTAGTTACAGTAATTAGCCAGTGTCACTCAACATACACAACAAGTGACAAGTCTGCAGAGGTAGAACTGTTTATTGGTTGATTTACTTGATTCAAGCATCTATCCAATTTCTTAAACACTTCTAAGGCGTATTAATTGCTAAAATAACATGAGGTAGACTTGTGGGCTCCTTGCAGCTAACAGTTTTAATAGAAATTCTAAGATTACTCCAACATGCATGAATGACATAGAACCTCTACAGGCATGTTTTTGATGAGACAGATATTTTAACATGGGAGAAAGTCCCCTACATAATACTCCTGTTAATTAATATACTGTTATGGTATACAATTGTAAACAGTGAGGGCCCTTAAGTCCACGCCCCTTCTGCAAACATGGTATCTTTGATTACATGATCAATTATAGTATATGCCTTTTTCTTAATCTCAAATAGCTTTTGACCTCGTTTGTTCAATAATACTTGAGTAGGGTTTCTTCCTGTGTGACCCCTCAGGAGCAGCTGGCCTTCAGAGCGCTCCCCAGTGTCTCGATGAAGCGGTGCACGTCACTGAAGGAGTTGTACAGAGGAACAGGAGCCACCCGCAGAACACTGGGCTCACGCATGTCACACTGAGCAAAACAGGGACAACAATAAATATTAAAAGTAATTTCAAATGACAACAATCACATTTTTTCAATCGGATAATGGAACTTTCTGAAGCTATTGTGAAAAGTTAAAAAGTAATTTCACTTGATGTTTCATGTGGCTAACTTAACCATAAACCAGGTCAAAAACTGTGTAATCTGACAGTTAAACAGTAAACTCCATCTAATAATTCTGACCTGCCCTCCAGCTCACTTTGCTCAACCAAACTAAACTATCAGCATTCTGCGAATGTTGTGCTGTCACATGAAGGCAACTTATTCAAGTCTATATCTGTACATATATACTTTTTTACTGTATGATACTTACAGCAACTCCCCTCCTCTCCAGTTCCTGGAACACTCGGCGTATGGGCAGGGAGAAGCAGAGGGACAGCTGACAGCCCCTCTGCTGGGGGTCCGAGGGGGTGATGATGTGCACATAAGGCTTGTGGGGCTGAGAGGGGTCTTGGCTGTAGTAGTGCAGGATCAAGTACTCCAGATACCCCGTCAGTAACAAGGACTTCCTCCTTAGAGCCGCCATGCCTGCTTTGTGAAACACCTGCACACAGGGAAAAAAACATATTAGAATAGTACTTCTGCAGTTCTCTTTCACTAAATGTAATGGCTCACTCAGACTGCACATGGAGCAAATGCAGCTTTAGTGTTTGGAGTAGTTTTATTGTGGAGTACATAAAGAGTGGAGTACTGCTGTGCTGTTGTGGTCACAGGCTTTGAAACCTGCACTCGTGAGACCATATGTTCAAATGATTACTAATAATTTATATAAGAAAAAAAATGCATCTGAGCACTCCTCTATACCACTGCACGGCACTCACTCCACGTCCAGTCTTGAGCGACACTTATGTTTTGCTTTATAATATCTTAAGGGATTTGCAGGGTTTGTTACATAATGAAAACAGAAGGGAGTGCAGTACCTCTAAGCTGGCCTGCAGGGGGCACACCAACAGAATGGGCTGGTTTGACAATCTGAATCCACTCACTCCCGGCTGCAGCTCCATCACTGAAAATGTAAATGAACTTCAAATCACCTGCAACTTTATGGACACTGTAGCCATCAAGTTATTAAACCACTGACCGTTGCTCATGTTGAAGCGTGTTTTGAGGTCATGACCCCACCACCCTGTCAGCCTGCAGAGGGGTGATACACAAAACACACATGGATAATAATGATGCATGTTTGTACAAACAGAGGGTATCAGGGGAAGTGTAGGACTCACGCTGGTCTGATGGTGTCTTTGTGCTTCTCGTGGATAAAAGCTGCTGCCAAACCTCCAGCTCCAGAGTTCAAATACTATAACAATGAGGTCAATATAACTGCTGAACATATTATTTGTGCTGTAGAATTTAAAATATGAATGAAAAGTAACATATACACAGTTAACAGTTTGAGTACTGCTTAACCCATTAAGTTACTGTCACCTTCATCGACAAAAAGTATATACTATAAATGAAAGTTCTTCCTGTGGTTTGTCAGTTGTACTTTGGTCAAATGTGTAGAGTTCAGACCTTGTAGGAGCACCAGCAGGCGAAGTCCACTCCCCAGTCATGGAGCTTCAGCAGAGCGTTCCCCGCAGCATGAGCGCAGTCAAAGCCCACGTAACAGCCCTGAAATACCATCGGAAATGTTCAAACGGACCCGTATATTTCTAAAGAGGAGGACCAAACAGGATGTAGTGAACATGAATGGAGGTAGGTAGTAATCAGTTATATTTATTTGAGCAACTTTTACTTCTCGAGTGGTTTCAAAGCACAGTACTTTTACGTCTAATATTTTTACAGTGTAACAGTACTCCTTTGAAGTTACTCTTTCCCCGTGAGTAAGTCCACACATGACAAAAGCATTGAACTTGAATGAATGAATGTCTTTTTGTCGTTTTGAAAATTCCAGATTCTGTACAATATTTAATGCTTTGTCCTTCAAACTACATAAACATGCAAATCAGATGTTACGCCCAGAAAGTGACTTTTACCTTGAGTGGTAGTTTCCTCAAATACTTTTAACTCCAACTTACGTTACGTCTTGGACTTCTACTTTGTGCTTCTACTTCAGTAAAGCTATTTTCAAGTAACTTTGTCCTGTACCTTCTTGTGTCCAGCCTCTGTGATGGCGGCCATGTCAAAAAGCTGTCCGGTGTAGTACTGAACTCCACTGAACATCACCACTGCGATGGACTGTCCCTCCTTCTCTATCACGTCCAGAATGTCCTTTGTCCGCAGCGTCTCCTCTCCCTGAGGAAACATGCACTGGACGTTACCACAGCAAAGGGGGAACAAAAAGCTTCAAATGTGAAATTGACTTTTGATCGGTTTATATTATTGAGTAGAAGAAAGTAGAAATACAATCAGAATAATGATAAATTACCATTGCCACAGTGATACTCAATTTATATTATATCTTTAGAATGGGAAAAACACCTCAAAATTTGCATATAGTGTGACAGAAATATTCTGAAAATGTTCTTTTTTACTCCATTCACCTGGAGACATTTATTTTTACAGTAATTGTAATAGATGATGTGGACAGTACATACAGGCCTGGGTGACACCAGGAGCATGCTCTCCTCAGGGTTAAACCCTCGCAGTCGGATCTGAGACTCCACAGCATACTGAAAGCAGCAAGAAACATTATTAGTGTTAGAGTACACAGGCCTGTCACCATATTTACTATACAGATGAACTGTTCAATAAAAGTTAGTAGAATATTTTTACTAAAGATGCACTGGAACGAACTGGATCAGTATCGGTCACATGATATTGGTTCAGCTGATATCCTGTTTATAATTGATTTTAGTATCTCAAATTTGTTATCCTTAAACATCCTTGAAACTTTCACCCAGACCAGACCAGATCAACAGTGGTATTAATAAGTAAACGAAAACGTCATTGAACCTGCATTGTTACGTCATATGTGGGGTACATATTACAAGGAACACTTTTAGTTAGCTATTTTAATTGTGTTTGTTTTATATTTTGTAACTTCTTTTATGACTTACGTGGTCAGATGGAAAGGCTTTGGCCTCCAGGAGAATTTTATGTCGAGATGAAGTGGGTTTGTAGAAAGAAAGCTGTAATGACGAGGACATACCGTATGAGGAGATCAAACTATAGGGTCTTGTAATTCTGTCGAATGAATGCGGTCACTGACCAGAAGTAAGTGCAGGTTTACTGTTAATCCATTCATTAAAGCCACCTCCTCCCTTTTTGCACCTGTACAGAAAAGTCAATCAGTACGAGAGTTCATCAAATGTTTAGTTGGATAGGGTGATTATTCTTTTATATTGACACAAATAGGTGAAATGAGAGCACACTTTCTCACCCACTATATCAGCCATCATCTGCTCTAGGTTGTTCTCTGCCCAGGCCCAGGGTCGAGGGCCATCTGTGTGACCGTGCACACCTCTGGCACCAAAGAAGGTAAAACTTTTTAAACTTTTGCTTTGATACACTTCTCTATTGAAAACTGCTCACACAACACAATTTAGGGTCAAAGATGAAATAAGTTGATAACACATTTAAATTAAAATGTACCTACAAATATATTTGTGTAAATAAAAACAGATTTAATGCTGCACTATGTAACTATGTATTTCGAGAAGAGGATCCGCCACCTTCTTTACTCCACGGAGATGATGTTGCTTTGCTTTGCTTTGAATTCACAGCATGATCTATTTTTAAGTCTTTATCTAATTACAAGTGTTTAGAAATACATTGAAAAACATTTTTTTTTTCCTATGAGTGGGGTCACCTGTTCACAGAACCAGTGTTGGGGAGTAACGGATTACATGTACCGCCGTTACGTAATCAGAGTACAAATTATGAGTAACTGTATTCCGTTACAGTTACTGTTTCAATGAGTGGTAATTGGATTACAATTACTTTGCTGAAATAAGTGGATTACAAGGTGGTATTTTCCTGTTTTCACATTTTGTGCTACATCCCATTTATTTATTTTTTTATTTCGGTAATTCCACTCATTGCCAGAAACCCAAACAGAACGCGCGCAATAAGAGCAATGTAAACGTCATGTTAAATTTGGCGGTGTCAGTCACACAGTGGAAGCAGCAGTGCATTGGTAAAAACGCATTTGTGTCTTGGAAATTCTTCTCCCGATGTGAGATATATATAAAAAAAACAAATATAAAATCGCCTACAACTTAAATGTGAAACAGGAGCTACTGGCACCGGTGAAAACAAACTGCATAGACTCATAATATCTGCACTACTGTCCTATAGTGACCTGCCACATGAGTGGACGTGCACACAAACACACACAAACATAAACACACAAACACACACCTTCATCATCGTCATGAACCTGAGAACCCGCGGACCACGTCTCCTTCCTAGTTACTGCGCGGACACCGCCATCTCGTGTGCCGCGTGTGGACCGTGTTTTCTCGCGTAAACCGCGCTTCCTCCTGTGCGCCTCTAAACCAGAACTAACACCAGGACTAAACCAGGACTAATCCAGGACTAAACCAGGACTAAAGCAGGACTGAACCAGGTTTAAACTAGGACTAAACCACAACTAAACCAGAACTAAAGACCTGGTCTAGACCTGGTCTAAACCAGGTCTAAAATCAGGAGTAAACCAGGTCTAAAAATCAGGACTAAACCAGAACTAAACCAGGACTAAACCAGATCTAAACAACATGACACCTAACAGTAGGTTGACATAATTTAAGGTGATCTCATATAAAAAATAATTTCTCTATCAATAATATTTTTTAATATGCTGAAGGAAAAGCTGATCTTGTTTCTGCTTTTAACAGACAAAACCTTTTATATTAAGATATCGTGGTCTTTGTTTCTCTACAGCAAACAGTTGCTTATTCATGGAGACTTGGGCTCAGACAATTTGAAGACAACAAACAAGAATTTTCAGGATGTGGTTGCTACATTCATGTCGTTTAAAAAAACATGACAATATCAAGTAATCCAAAGTAGTCAGATTACGTTACTCACTTTAAGTAATTTAATGGATTACGTTACAAACTACATTTTGGGGTGTGTAATCTGTAATCTGTAGGAGATTACATTTTAAAAGTAACCTTCCCAACACTGCACAGAACTGACCTATAATTGGAGACTTAAGTTAGACTGAAGTTACTTGCCACGCTGTAGATCAGGGGTGTCAAACTCATTTTGGTCCGGGGGCCGTATCCAACCTACTTTGATCCCAAAGGGGCCGGATCAGAAAACTCATGGCATATAAACCCCAAAAATAACAATAAGTTCAAATATTTGTGCAGAGAAACACAAATCTATTACAGAAATCTTTTTTAATTGATGAACTCTTTCTTATTATAATATTATGAACAACCTGAAACTTTAAGAAAAATTCAATTTCAACACAATGTTTTAACGTGAACTTGTATGCAAATAGGAATAAGTCAATTTTTCTTGGAAAATCCTGCACTCGGCTCCACTTTTCTCATTTTGGACATTTAGCTGATGAGGGTGTCACGGTCAACAGTCAAAACGATCGTCCTTTAAGAGCGTTTGGAAAGAGACAAGTCTTCATTTGTGCTGCTCTGGTGGGAGGGGCCACGTACAGAGACGCTAGAGACGCTGCTGTGCTAAACACCGCAGAAAATTACCAATATATTAATAGAAAATATAATTAAAATATTTTAGTAGAAAATCACCCAAGGGCCACATTAAAGGTCTTGGAGGGCCAGATCTGGCCCCCGGGCCTTATGTTTGACACCTGTGCTGTAGATAATTGCAGGCAAAACAATAACATCTCCACTAAGATGAACTGTTGGCATAACCTCTTCCAGAAAACTTACACAGTGCATCTTCAAACTCCTTACGTTTTGGCCCATTTGTCCAGCTCCTCCTGCAGGTACTGTGGGGCCAGTCTGGGCTGTAGTCCCAAGGAGTTGCCCACCAGGTAAATACAGTCAGCAGAGCCATCAGCAACAGACAAGTCAGCTGTCAACATGCACAAGAACGTATACAGGATATAAGCAAAGGGATTACTTTTGCCATAATGTAATGTTTGTATCATAAACTGAATGTTCATTTTTCTACTTCACTGCATGGCTTACAGGTGGGCAGCTCAGACACCTTGGGCAGAAAGAACTCTCCTCGAAGTGGTTTCAGAGGGTCCTGTTTGTCAAGGTACTCAGCCACCTGTGCGAAGGTGGGAGGACAGTTCAACAGTCTACTGACCTCCTCCACTGTCTGGACTGGGGTCAGGCCTTCAAACTGCTCCATGCTGGCCAGGAGGGGAAGCTGCAGAGGGTTAAAACCCAAGTGGATTCTTTAAAACTGCATTTAGTCTGTGCTCTTTTAGTTTTTAAAAAGCAGTACAATCACAACTTGGGTTCCCAGTTACCTTAACCTGCAAATAAAATATGTTTTTCTCATTTTCATTATATGGACATGCCACGTTTCATGTGAAAGTTCAGAACCTCCGGAATTCCCTCACTGATTGGCTGTAGGGGCATGGTTTAGGTAGTGACCATTCAGATCAGAGGCATTTTCATCTTATACCAACTAGATTTCAGCACTGAACCAGGCAACCCAAAAGAAAGACTCACATGAGGCTCATTCTGCTTTCTGATTAGATAGCTGTCTTGAGAACAACAAACTATGTAACAACAAATTATAACATATAACATCCAATGCTTCTGTAATAAAGAATAAATCAGCAATACAAGTGTTACAAATAAGAGCCATTTGTGCACATGTTGACCTTGTCTCTGAGTACATAGGTCATGATTTGGAATTTAAAACTAACATCTTATATACAGCTCCTTAATTTTATTTACACATTATTTTAAAGGAGTGTAAATGCTGTATTTCCTCTATAGTAGTATAGTACTGAAGAATACCTGACAGTGTGGAGTGGTGGATCCAAGGATCAGCTCTGCTCTGATCCACTGCTAGGTGCTCTTTGGCCTCTGTCTGTTTGCCTATTTACCAAGTTAATCATTCATGCCTCATCAACATACTACACTGGTCAGGATACAGTGGGTGGTGCTAGAGCAGGGGTCTCCAACCTTTTTTCTCCAGTGAGCCACCTTTATGAAACAAAAATGCCAGAGAGCTACCAATTTCAGCAGACGTGAAGAAAGTGAATGAATATAAGAGCCACGGAGGAGCTATAAGAGCGAACAGTTAGATGCTTATAAAACATAAACCATTATCTATTTATCAGTGCACCAAGTTAGGCATAAAAATGATACATTTACAATGGTAATTAATCAAATTTTACTTATTCAGCACAATACATAGAATTCAGAAATCTCTTGGCGAGCTCCTTTGAAGGGGATGGAGACCTACTCGTAGCTCCCAAGCTATAGGTTGGAGACACCTGTGCTAGAGTATATGGCTAAATGTCAAACTTTGACATATGATCACCTGGGCTGGCAATTTAAATATTTAATAAAAAATATCTGAACACAAAAGGAGACAATATAAGGGGTGTGACTCGGTGACAACATGACAAGGTCTGAGTGAGATGTGAACAGAACAAAATCTAGACCTACACCTAAATATGGGTGGTCTTACATGACATAGGCCTCGTTGGCGCAGTAGGCAGCGCGTCAGTCTCATAATCTGAAGGTCGTGAGTTCGAGCCTCACACGGGGCAGGCTTTTTAATGGAAAGCCAATCATGTTTTCATCCACATGGAATGAAATTCGACTTGATGTTCTATTAGCACAAAAAATCTGAACTAATAGTATATAAATGATAAAGAGGAGTTGGCCTAAGGTAGAGCCTTGGGGCACACCAAAGGAAACCAAAGTTACTAAGAATGGGTGGTTCTGATTCTTTTATTTGGGGGAATGGGTGTTGCTGTTTTGAATGACTATGGGAGAAGAAAGTGAGGAGTAAATGATACAGGTGAAGAAAGTGGACAGACTGGCGTCTACAGAGAAAGTAGGCAGAAGATCAAGATTTGTTGGAAGCTTCAAGAGTGTGGAATAATGAGAGTTGAGCAGTGATAACAGTTGGCTGTGCTGGATTAGAGAAGGTAGAGGATAATGAATAGTGTTGGTTTTGTTATTGAAAATATCACAAAACTATTGTGGATGAGTACATGTGTGGCTGGAGAGTGTCTGTAGGTTTAAGCAGGTCGTTGAGAGTATGCCCGGGAATTACTTTCTTCAGAATTATTATTTTTTCATGAAGCAGTAAGAAAGAGTTGTATGAGCATCTATCTCATAAGGTGGACAGTCAAGTATGGGTAGGTTATGGCAAAGTAGGCCTAGTTGGCGCAGTAGGCAGTGCGTCAGTCTCATAATCTGAAGCTCGTGAGTTCGAGTCTCACACGGGGCAGGTTTTTAATGGAATGTCTCTCAGAGGATCTTGTAGAAAAAAAACTTTCCTGACATAAGGATAGACACCAGAGACAAATAGGGTAAGCTTCAGCAAGCGTTGTTGGCATCGTAGGCTGCATGTTAAATCTCATAATCTAAAGATTGTGAGTTCAAGCCTTACATGGGGAAGGGTTTTAATGAATGGCTGTGTTCCAAAACAGACCTAAAAGAAGAATTAAAAAAAAAAAGGAGTGGGCCTAAAATAGAACCTTGGGGCACACCAGAGAAGACACAAGATAGAGATTGGCAGGGGCTGATTCTGTTTTTTTTTTTTTGAGGGAAGTAGAACAAGAACACATGTCAACACATGCAAGGGTAGGTTGAGGCAATGTAGGCCTTGTTGGCGCACATTCACAAAATTACCTCAGACAAGTATATAAGGCAGTAAAAAAAAAGTTGTACGAAGGTAGACACCAAAGTAAAGGCCGTGGAAAAGTAAGTCTCAAAGGCGCAGTAGGCCTCGTTGGCGCAGTAGGCCTCGTTGGCGCAGTAGGCCTTGTTGGCACAGTAGGCCTCGTTGGCGCAGTAGGCAGCGCGTCAGTCTCATAATCTGAAGGTCGTGAGTTCGAGCCTCACACGGGGCAAAGTTTTAATTATTTAAAAATCTTACCTATCTGAAGGTTATAAATGATCAAGCGGCATGTACTTAAGATTGAGCCTTCGGGCATACCAGAGACTGACCTAAAAGGAGAATTTAAAAAATAAAAGAGGAGTGGGCCTAAAATAGAAGACAAAAGGTTTTGAGATTGGCATGGTCTGATTTTGTTTTGTTTTTTTGAGGGAAGTAAAACAGGAACACATGTCAACACACATATGGGTAGGCTGAGGCAATGTAGGTCTCATACAAATATATAAGAAAGAGTTCTACAAGCATTCATCTCATAAGGTGGACACCAACGTATGGGTAGGCCATGGCAAATTAGGCCTCATTAATGCAGTAGGCCTCGTTGGCGCAGTAGGCAGCGCGTCAGTCTCATAATCTGAAGGTCGTGAGTTCGAGCCTCACACGGGGCAGATTTTTATCAACAGACTATTATCACGCTGATACGTAGTACTTCCGCATTCAGTGACCTTTGTGCACGCCTACTTCCGGTTTATTTTATGAAAATTTCACCTACGACTATGAAGGTGAGTAGCTACTAGCTAACATAACTTTACAGCTGCCGATCCTACATACCATCACTCTGATATTGACGTGTTATTGTCAGAGTAGTGGCATTTAAATTTTTTATCAAACGTCCCTGCACTCTGACATTTCTTTATCCTTTGGTCGGAGTGGTAGAATCCTATTGTTGAAGACGCACCACTGTGCGTAAAGGTCCTGGTACTGCAAGTGCAGCCGAGCAGCGCGGCTACAAGGGACAGATGCGTAAGAATTTGGAACTTTATGAATGAAGAGGTTACGGGGTGTTACCTGACACTGCAGGTGAAGCGCGCGGTGACGCACATTTGGCTCAAGGCGCAATGATACGGCCAAGCAGAGAAACTATGAAAAACTGAATTGTGTGACAGTTTGGACATTTTTGTGAATGGACAGGAGCAGGAGACATTCATTACCTGTTGGCAAAGACTAGGGCACACGAGAAAGCACTGTAAAGCTCAGTGTGTTGCGACAGTGAACCGGTGCCGGGCTCGCAGTCAGATAGAGACACTAAAAAGATCAATGATTTAGGAATCTGGATATTTTCATGAATAAGGGCTATAATATTAGAATTATACCTGGTCATAGAGGACAGAGCGGCTTACACAGGGACCCAGAAATGCGTCGGTCCCTTATAAACTCATAAAAGTTTATAAAGAGCCGGCTGCAGTGCTCATTCTCCTCGTGCGCGCACTTAAAGTTGCGGACTTTTACGCACTCGTTAACCTGGCACCTCCACGCGCTCTCACCTACAGGAGGTCAGGCGTATGTGGCCCCCTCTCGTGCCAACAGAGCAGCATGCGTAAAGCTCTGCGCGCTCTAATGGCAAAGAGCTTTACGCCAAATACCCTCCAATACGGGATGGCGGTTCTGTCTCTTTTTCTCTCTCTCATTCAAGATTAGTCCTGGTTTAGTCCTGTTTCATTGGTGTCGGAATGGGGGCATGTCAGGGTGGAGGGTTGTCAAAATGACGGTATGACAGAGTGCGGGTGTGTTGGAGTGACTGTATGTCAGGACAGGGGTTGCCTATGCTTTAGAACAGGAGGGTTAGCTTATGCTAATGTCAGTTTGGTGTATGGATATAAGGTATTTACCCAACATACCCAACAAAAGCAAGAGTATTCATTTTTAAATGAGGTTAAGTAAATTCACCCATGTCATTTGTATTCTGAGAGGAAGCACTCGCCTCTCAGTTTCAGTCAGCTAACGTCGGTATACAAGTGTCTCTTTTGCTAGCACATAAGGAGAAAAAAAGTCCGCTTTCACCAGGCTTTCTGTGTGTTTTATTTTCTCAAAGCACTGTGATGTTTCAGACTTCAATGGACTTTACGATGCTATGAGAAAATAAAAAAGACAGAGCGAGAACATCTGTTTGAGGCTGACTTTTTTCCTCCTTTTTATGTCTGATACATTTGTCCTGCTCCCGCTGTGGAGCTTTAACTGGTCCCAGTAACTTCTTTTGCCAATTATAAAGATATTACAAAGTATTTACAAAGAATATGCATTGATCCTGCTGATTATTCCATAATTTAAAAAGAGCAGTGACATCTAGACATCGTTTGAGCCATTGTTGTTGTTGCCCTGGAAGTGGAAGTGCACAAAGTTGATAAACCCCGCCCACAAAACCAGGAAGCATGATAATAGTCTATTGTCTGTGTTCAAATAACATTTTCTTTTCATTCTCTATTCACTACTTTAATCTTGAGCTGGTAAGAACATGTAACTGAACTTTAGTCCATGCATGTGGTACAATTATAAAATATGTT